TCTTCCCTATGCCGCTCACTGAAGAGGGTGTATGACAGTCAGGAGGTGTAGCTGCCTTATATGCTGTGAGCCTGCGCGCATATTCAGGTAGGCTCGCCCGGATTGGCCGGCTACGTTTATACAACTTCAGTGTGTGAACGCTCGCGTATCATTGATGAGAGTAGTACCCATAGAGTCCAGTAGAGGGCTCCGCCTGTGCTTATAGAACTAGGGTTACAATACGTAACCCCCCGTTTTTTCTATATGTTCTTCTAGAATGCATACCAGTGTTTTCTGATCTGTACTCTATCAGTAGGACAACCTAGGGAGTGTGTCTCCAAACAATTGTAACACCTCACAAATATATGGAATGGGTTATATTAAGGTACCCGATATGGCAAAATAAATGTTGGATATTCAGAGTGGGCTCTAATGCCACTGTAGGACTACATATGGTAGGACAATCTGTTTTATTAGTACTGATTCATCTATTTGCAATGTTTTGTTAAAAAAACACCTTTAATATACTTTCTTACAAATAATTAGTTTTAAAGATGGAAGCAAACTGTAAGAATGTAATCCTTTCCAATCCCTGGTGAGTCAAAATGTTACGAAACATTGCTATGGCAACTGAATCTGCTGGCACACGATGAGCCATCGTATGGACGCATTAGATGGATGCAGTTTAGTTTGGGTCTTTAACAACTTAAGTGAGAACAAAAAAATCATGTATTATATGACAGTTTTTACCTTTGCTATCTAATGTAGCTGCTTTCCTATAAGCTGTACATCAAATTGATAAAGGAGAAATACATTATTTTGTTAGCAGATGCACTATCTTTCCTGTGAGGTATAGGGTGCTTTTATTGCCCAACCTTTTTTGAACCGAGAGCTACTTTTAAAGTTGCCAGTCTGCCGAGATCTACCAGTCCAAATAGAGAGGCGTAGCCATTACTGACAGCCTACTACCAGGTAAATACACACTTCTACTTGTATAAAACTGACTTTTGTAAGATTAATACTTCATAAAATACTGCAGATCCTTTATCTTACCTCTTTCTAATCATACAAGTATTTAACTGAAGTTACACAACAGTGTTGTTGATACAGAGTTGGACTTTATTCACACGTCACAAACTACAGTGGGTAATGTTTTCAAGAAACATTGAACAGTGCTGCCACATATGACACAGGAAAAAAAGAAAAGATTCTGAACCCTTTCTTTGCCATTATATAAAAATAGTGTTGCTACAAAAGTATAAATTAGGCTTACTAATAAGACAACTCAGATCTGAAGCTACACAGGAATCTGCTGCCAAAGTGCAATAAAAAAGACAAAATTAATAGAATCAAACCCTTTGTTGCATTTTAGTAGAGTATAAAAAGAAATGCCTTTAAAATAGGATGCAAGCAACACTAGTTTCTTAACCTGAATTGATAATAGACTATAATCAATTTAAGTTTGCATTCTTATACCATTTTGTACAATAATTATAATGAATAAGTTCAAACAAACTAAAACTTACAGCTGATTAATAACGGTATCTAACTTGAGTTTTTATTATATCAAAAACCTGTTGAAATGCTACTGTTATTTCTACTGTCCCCAAAAAGCGCGTCGGCAGCCTCCAGGAATGCTTCTTTCACAACTTCGCCGTCTTTGAAAGACTTCATGTGTTTGGCAAGAACGTGACTGACACGATAAGATGCTATGGTAGCAGCCTTGCTCTTGTTGTTGGGCCTGGTGAAAATGGACTGCTGTGCATTTAGCTGTCCTTTCAGGTCCCTCACCTTTTGGGAGCGTAGGGCAGAATTAGGAGGGAATCCCGTCTCGTAGCGTTTGTGCACTGTTTTGAAATGCCGCTCCTAAATGGCCCTTCTTCGGTAAAGCCACGCTCGCATTGCAGATGAGACAGATGGACTTTGAATTGGAATAGATACAAAAATAATCATCCTCCCACTCGGAGTGAAAATGATATATTTTGGGCTTTTTTGCTTCTGCCATAATTGCGGTCTTGTGTGTGTGCGGACTGTCACTCCTGTTTACACGGACAACGTCAGCGAAATAGTGCCCACTGCCCACCAGCCACGTCCCGACACATGGGGTCACGCCGGCCAATCACAAAGCTTTGATGCATTCAAGTGCATTATTCTGGCACAGGAAGATTATGTTATAGGACATTAACGATAAAACAGAATATTGTTGTTCTATTTTTAGACACATCTCGCGATCGACTGGTTGGGCACCCCTGTTTAAAACAAAGCTTTAAAGCGTTCGCTATTATCAGACAACATTCAAAGTAGGATTGTGAGAGGAATTGCATAGCTCTGTTACAGCTGGTATTGTCAAGTGTCTTAGGACACATAGAGAAAGATTGATTATTGAAAAGTGTCAGTGTAAAGGATAGCTGCTCATGATGCTGATGTGAAGTTCTCTGCTGTAAAACTGCTGCCTGATGTGAGGACGTGGAGAATGTTCTGCAGCTGGCAGCTTGACTTATTACGTCTCCTCAGAGGAAGGCAGGGTGGATTTAAGTGACACTGTGGTCTCTATTGGCGAAATGTAGTTCCTCTTTAGAGAGAAAGCCAAGCAGAAAAAGGAACAGAGTGGAACCTTCAAACCTACATGAGTCCTCCTGATACTCCTCGTCAGCTGATCATTGAGCCAGTGAGAACTTCTCTCATAACAACCTTCCCAGGTGCAATTCAGCAGAGTGCCTAAACCCAGCAAAGTGAAACCGTGTGAAATGTATTAGCGTCACCTACGGACATCTTGGGAGGAGGCTTGAAGTCAATTACGCCTTTTGTTCTTTACGTTGAGTGCTGTATTAAGTGCCTCTGTCAAGCGTGTCAAATTGAAACAGGAAATAGAAGCAGGGCTGGCGTTATCCTCCGTTCATATTGACACATCTTTGTAGCCGCCCTGCTGCGCTCGCAGGCATATGAGACTCCAAAAAGGAGCAGAATATGAATGTTCTGACAGACAATTGATAATGAGCAGCGGCTGAACAAAGCACTAATCACCAAGTGTTGTAAGATCCTCAGAAAAATGTCAGTCAGCTCAAGAACTGGGGTTGAACGAAACAATATCAGAGAGAGAATGGGGCACATGTCGTGTCATTACTCGTGTACGTTTTAACAGACATGTAGCTGTGTGAGTGTGGATCAGGTGGTGAGAGAATGAACAGGACCTGTCGCTGCTCCTGCTCCTCAACATCTAGGTTTTTACACCAACATAGATTCTCTTCTTTCCAGAACATTTCTTAATGCACTGCACTGCATCACATTATAAATTGACACGATATTTTGAATGTTAAACCAATTTCTTGTTTTACTAACTAATCACTCAACCTATGCTATATACAGTAGCATAGATTAGGGATTGGTTAAAGTTCAACTAATATACTCTAAGAAAGTAGGTATGTAGGTATGTTCAAGAATTGTTACATATACTGAAAAGATAGTATATTAAATATTCACAGAACACAAGAATACAATTGTTGAATTGTTGAATCATAACATTTCAACTGTTTAACATGTGGAAATATTCCAAAAGCTCTATGTAGGCTTACTATCCAAGAGATCGAAGTAATAATGTATATATTAATACATCTAAATATAATATAATAAATAGGTAGATGACTTAGAGTTGTAATAATTATCTTCACCTTTCTCCTGCACCAGTGTGCACTGCAAAAAAGGAATTTTAAGAAAGTAAAAAAAACTTGTTTCTGGGAAACAATTCTTATTTTTCGTCTAAAAGGTAAAATGATCTTGTTAAGAATGTTTTGCTTAAGAAAAGTATTCTTACTTGGAGAAAATATATCTTACTTTTTCTTATTAAAAATTGCTATCTTATATTGAGCTAGAATTAACCAGTAACAAGTTACAGCTTTGGTTTGCATAAATTCCCGGCATGGAACAGATTTTTTTTTTCTTATTTTAAGAAATAAACCATCAAACAACTTCTCAATTTAAGAATCTGAAGAAATGACACCAATTTTACATTTCATATATATGTATTCATTGTCGAGAGCTGTCTATTCACTTTTCACATTGCCATTGTGACAACTGTGGTGTGGTATACACAACACACACACACCAAAAATACAAGTAGAAGTATTGCACGGCACTCATTGATCAACATTTTAAACAGTTTAAAATGACCACGCAATGTTGTTAAATGTGTTCATGTTTGAATAAAAAAAAGTCTAAATATAAGAATGTTTCTGCTGTCTTAATTGAAGACAAATGCAATTATATAGAGGCGTGTGGCGCAGTGGCCTAGTGTGTTGGTGTTCGGATCAGGGGGGCACAGGTTCAAACCCCACTGCAGTCAGCATGTCGTTGTGTCCCTGAGACACTTCACCCCAAATTGCTCCTGTGGGGATTGCTCACAGTATTGAGTATGTAAGTCGCTTTGGATAAAAGCGTCTAACAAGTGACATGTCATGTAATATATTATGCCAATTAAAGAATTGAATTCTTATTATATGCTTTATTTGCTGATTTTTTTACTTAATTTAAGATTTACATTCTAAGTTTAAGACAAAGTCACTAATATATTGTGTCAATTAAAGCCAATGATTCTTATTGTAAGCTTTCTTCGCTAATTATAAATCTTAATTTAAGAAATACATTCTTAGTCAACTCAACCAAAACACTAATTTTAAGTTATTCTTTCTTAAATAATTCAGGAATCATTGCTTGTAATAAGCAACATGTACTTACATTTTTCATTTTTGTCTAGTTTCAAGGCCCATTACGGTCTTTCATTAGCTAGATTTTAATTCTAATTTTAAGAATTCTAGCCAAGCAAATTTGGCTCTCCCCATTGGCAGATTGTTTTGCTTGATACAGGAAAATCTGACCTGATTCAAGAATATTTTTGCTTGTTTTTGGAAGGGCTGTTTTTGCAGTGTGGCGATTTACCTTCTTGAGTCAGGACGATGGAGCTGTTGACTTGTCACATTTACATGGAATTTCTAACGTTCTTTCGCTTTGTGTGTGACCTTCTGTAGGGGACCTGGGATCAGACGATGATTACCTGGAAATCCCATCCATCTCCAGACAGAGGGCGGGGACGTATGAATGCACAGCCGTCAACGATATCGACACAGACGTCCAGACTGTGGACATAACTGTCAACTGTAAGTCAGTGATTTCACCGAAGAAAATGTAACATGTTCTCTTTCAATGAACTGTGCTGAAATGATAAGTCGATTACCATTGAGTCATGAGATGATGGAAAAAATGACAACACATTTCATTGTCATATAATAATTGTAACTATTTGTCAAGAACAAGTGACACATATTTAAAGTTCCCAGCTTCACACATTCTGTTCTCTATCATCAACTGAGATGTTGGACTGAAACAAATAAAAGGTGATTTCAGGAGGCTGTTGCGACACACCAGTATCTACCATTTCAGAGTAATACATAACAATACAAAAATCAAGATGTTAATGAAACATGAAACCAACGTACTTAGTTACCCTCATAATAAGCAAAGTTTTAGTTTTGGACATTTACTTAAACTTAAAAGTCACCTATTAAACTATTTCGACAATATATTGTAGGTCTCAGATATGTACAGAACCTGTCTCTGAAGTGTTTGGCTGAATCACCAAACAGATCATTGCAGCATCCCATAATCCCCTCTGTTGCAGCCCTATTCCAAAAGATTCTGTGTCTGTAGCTTTAAATGCTAATGAGCTGCTGCTGAGATGATTGGTTAAAAAAACACAATGGTGGAGATTCAGGTGATAAGGTGGGGGGGGGGTGTTGTTGTTGCTTGTAGATGTTCCAGCTGTGTCAGAGGGCAGAGACGTGGGGGTGACTCTGGGCCAGCGGGGGGTTCTGGAGTGTGAGGCGGACGCTGTGCCCGAGCCAGAGTTTGAGTGGTACAAAGAGGACAGAAGGTAACTATTTCCGACATTTTAAGCAGTCAAAGAATCGTGCACTGACAAAAATGAAGCGTTGACTTTAATTCAATGTATTATCTCAACACATTTCACATAACTGTATGAGGTTAGTTGAAAGCAATACTATTACGTTGAACTTAATATATTTTATTTAAACATATTATTATTGCTTTCAACTAACCTAATACGGTTATGTGAAATCTGTTGACATAATACATTCAATATGTGACAATATCTCGCTTTCATAGGTCATCTGGCAGAGACTTTGAAAAAACAAAAGAAACACAGTTGACATGTTGCATTTGTCCCCGTCTTCTTCACATTCAGGATCTACACTGGCATTGACGGCATGGAGATCTTGAACACTGGATCGTTGTCCAAGCTGACTTTTTTTAACGTGTCTGATGCAGATTACGGCAACTACACTTGTGTCGCCACCAACAAACTTGGGAGCTCAAACACAAGCTTCCTTATGTATGGTGAGTACAACAATCTACTACAGAAAGGTCAATATGACTAAACAGCTGTAGTGTATTTTGCAATACAAGTAATAATGATAATTATAATAATATTCTGCAACATACTCTCAATTTCGCTAACTTTTATCGGTGTTATTCAAACTTTATCCATTTGGTGAAAGTTATAGCTGTTTTTCAAACATAGAAATATCTCTTTTCATGACTCAATATCTTGATATAGTTGTGCATTCATGTTCAGGCAAACACAGCTTGTGCTGAGTTAATATACAAAGTTAAAACATAAGAAGTCACTATCTTTTTCATGTGATTTGATTATTACACCTACAGTTAGTTGTGTTTATGCTTCTGTGATGTTCAGCCTGTTCAGAATGAGCATTACAGTCCTGTAAACTGACTTATTGCTCTTACTTAAGAAAGAGAAAATGAATTCATCGTTTTAATATCACTTTAATTCCATTGAGGGTGAACTAAATTAAAATACTGTAGTGTTCCAGCATTTGACTTTTGACACCACCTGAACTGGTGAATGTCTGTTGGCTCTGTTCTCTGTTTGAGCACTTGGTATGTAACAATGCAAGTGTTGTCAATGGTTTGTTGATGTGCTGTTTCCAATATGTTGCTCTGTTCCATTTGTTTCCCTGGTGTAGTGGTAATTGAACCCACTAGCTCAACGCTATTGCAAGGTTAGTATTCTGCTCCAGCATGCACTTCAACTGCTGTCGATAGAAAGTATTAACTGCATGCTGGCACATGACAAATAACCATTTTCACAAAGTAGACCGTGTGCTGCGGCGTCACTGCAGTTCTAAGCAGTGTGACAAGAAGAGACAAATCACGGCTGGGCTCTTTCATCCTGTCCAAACTCTACCTTCTTTGATATCGCTTCGTTCTCTTCTTGAATTGACACGTTAAAGCTGTTGTATGGCAGCAGCTTTGAAGAAGACTGGCAAAGCAAAGCACCATACACATGTCATGAGCATCTTTGTGAAAAGGGTCATGACAGCTTGTTTCACTAACCATGTTTTTGTATCTTCTCTCTTGCAACCCTAACTGCATCACTGTGACGTGGCTTTATTTTGATTTTTGCATGCTCTTTTTCCCAATGTAAGTATCTGTCATCTTTTATCATTATAATTTGTGCTTGTGTGATTGCTTGTACCTCTAGTTATTGCATAATAACTGTACATCCTACGCAAAAGTGTGAAAGCTAAAGAGAGAGCTGCCTCACTGACAGCTGAAATGTTTCCAGTATCTCCGAGTAGAGATCACAGAGTAGATTACTGCTGGATGAGCCTGTGTGTTTTAACAGCAGAGATAAAGCCTCACACATCTTGTCCTTTAATGAGTCCTTGTGACTGGTGGTTGCAGCATCTTGTAAGCAAACCCACTCCATTACCACAATATAATTGTATTAATGGCTTTGATTTTGACTGCGAGTGAACGCCATTATTCTAATTAGCCATATGCAGGATTAGGGATAATCCACTGTCGCAGGGTAATTGGATAGATGCCCCAAAGGAAGCTGTTGTGAACTCATGGAAATCCAAGGGAAATGAGAAGTCATTGTGTTACGAGCTTCAAAGTAGTTCAAATGTGTCCTCAATCCTCATACAATGCATTCACTTAAAAGGAACTTCCCTCATCAGTGAAAATGGCCTGATCAAAGTATTAAGTGTTTTAGTTTTTGCAACATACCATTGTGTTGTATCTTAGCTGTGCAAACAGTGTTACACTGGAATACTTAAGGTGCAGACATTTAAGTATTTCTCTAAGAATATGGTTGCATTTTTACGAAACCTAAGGACAAACGTGTGTCTGCTCTGTGTTTTCTAGTGTACCAAGGTTGTAGCCTGATGTATCGTAGCAGATGATACCGTTTTAGGAGATATGAGAAACTAAATGTTTTCCACAGAATCACTTTTCTGGCTCCTTGTTCATAAAACACTTTCTGCAGCCATTCTCAATTGTTAATGGCAACATGCTGAACAATATCCTTACAAGTTTAATGTCTCACTATGCACTCCACATAGTTTACACTATTTATGCAATATTTATTATTTTGTACCGAAAGTAAGGCCTTACATTTAGACCAAACATTTACACCAAAGAAACATTAGCATTAAATCAGCTAAAAGTGTCCCGGTTGCACACCTGAAAATCATAACATCATTTTAACAAAATGCTTTTGTTTTTAGGGCACTTCTCAGAACTAACAATGTTCTTGTAATAGATAGAAAAGCTTTTTACAAAAGAGTAGCTGAGAATGTTGAACGTTATTCCTTCAAAGTGCATCTGATGCTGTAGGCAGCGTCATTGTGATCGTCACACTGAAATAGATGCTTCCTGCTACACTACATGGAGCTCGCCTCCTGCTACACTAATTGAAGCCTCACTGGGTATTGTCTTGTTATTTTACACATGTGCTGTTTATTTACACTTTTACTTTTACTCTACAACAAATAGTGGTTTCTGCCTCTGGTGTCCTGCTGTAACCTGGGACTATCATCTAAAGAATGACACATGAGCATTCACAGCCTTGAGAAAACAATACTCACTCCAGGATGCTTGTCAACAAATAAGAATAAATCAGACTAGAAACTAACATTGATTCACTCATATCTTCTGTATCTGAATTACAATCAGATACAGGCAGATTTAGCAGCATATGCTAAGTATTGCAAGATAATAACATATGTTAGGGACACAGAATGAACACAAATGTAAAGTGTTATTACTGTAGTGTTAGTCTGCTGCTCTCTTCATCCAAACATTTGTAATTATTTGTATTAATTATGTTTTGTGGGAACACATACATGTTTCCACGAGTTTGCTCAGTTGACTGTTTCTTCTTGTGAAGGAAAAGCCCTTTTTTTGTCAGGGGCAGTTCCGCATATGGGCATTAAAACGTCTGGATGTTTGATCCAGAGAGTGTGGTCGACATCAAGAGCCCCTCGAGTAGTTTTGATTAGGAAACACAAATGATAGTTTGGTTTAAATGTTGAAGTTAGATCAGCCGTCTCCTGGGTCAACGCCATTGACTTTCTCAGTATTTAATGCAACAACATAAGTTGCTTTAATTGCAATGAGCATATTAAGATATTTTAGGGAAAAAAAACATGATTTACTTACATATGTTGTCAGTCAAGATTTTAAAATGTTTTCCAGAAAGCATGAAAGAGGCCCTATTCTGCATTATGTGGTGTTCCTTCTCCTGTAGTGTGTCTAGGAGTGCATGTTAATGGTCTGCAAAGGCTCAAATCCCTGTGTCTCCCCCTCACACACCACATGAACCAGGACATGAGCCTAATATGTCCTCTTTAACACACATCATCATTCAGTAATAACTGTAAACTAGTTTCTGTTTTCACCAACAACAAAACAGCCCTGTATCCATCACAGTAATTCTCTTTAGGATCCTGAATTGCCATCAGCTGATTGGCTGTTCATTTAAAAACAAAGGACCAGTAGTGATGACACAATGGAAAAAGACAATTCCACAGTGAAATGTAACTTCGTGTCCCTCTCTCCTGTCAGGACCGAGAGCAGTGCAGGACGGCAGCGGGGGTGCGGCAGGACTCCACCTACACACCTGCCTGCTGGGCCTGGTGTTCCTGCCCTTCCTGCTCAGATTTTGAAGAGGAATGGAATTGAACACAAGTATTTTGTTATGTGTGTGTGTGTGTGTGTGTGTGTTTTTCTTTCATTTTTCAAACGGAACCATGAACTGATGCACATGCAATATCCTGCTAATGTTGACCCAGTTACAAAAGTTTCTGTTTTTTTCAAGGATGTAACAAATGTTTGAGATTTTAATTTAACCGTGTTGGAAATGTTCCCTCTAAACTTTATTATTCTGGATTATTTTTACATATATGTCTGGGAGAAAAGAAAGGGATTTTTTAATTGTGTTTTTTTCTTGTTCAAATGGATTTGTCTTAATTTCAACTGCATTGCATATTCATCTTAACTCCGGGAAAAGGCACATTTACAGCAGGAATGAGAGGTGAATGTTAAATACCTCAAAGTCAAACTGAGACAGTGAAGCAGAAGGAATCTAGGTTACCCTGAGGCGGAAAGCCTGCTATTCTTATATTTTAATGTATAATAATTAACATTCAGTCTGGTTGTTGAAACAGAATTGTTTTTGACCTTCAAGTGTTTTTGTTCTCAGCATTATAGTGATATACTTGCAGTTGTGTTATTCTAATCTTTTAATTTAATTCAATGATGTTGAGTTTTAAATATTTTTGAGAAGGGAAAATATGAAGTTGTAATTATTTAGGAGAAATATCCTAGTTATATGTCTGTTTTCTTTTTCTTTTCCAGTACAGTTGTACACACAAATGGTGATGAATAATTATGTGATAATTATGTAGTTAAAAATGGAGAAAGATTTCACTCCACTTGTGTGGAGTCGACGTCTTATTTACATGATGCAAATGTATTAATGATGTTGCTACTTGTTTGAACATAATGTCATTTCCACACTACACAGTTATTTAAAAATGTTTTCCTGTTTATGATCCAAACCAGCAATGTAGGGTCTGTGAGATCATGTTATAGAAAATAAAACACTTTTTGCATGTATTTAGACACCAATAACCCAAAGACTTTAGCGGTTCACACAGCACCATAATTCCTAGGAGTTACGTTTTATATTCACAACATCAAACAAAACACACAGACACGTATCCCATATTTGTCTTTTCACAAACAAGAGGGTAAACACATTGTGTTTTAATATAGTTTAAACATGGGGTCATTTTGGAAATCTCAAATGATAGATAAATATAAACCAAAATCTATAGCGTGTGGTTTCTGATTGAAGCTTATTTGCATCTGCACCTGGCATTTCAAGTTCTTTTTAAGAAGAAAAATAAAATAATTGCGGGCCTGCTGCACTGTAGTGAGCCACTTGTTATAACCAAGATTGATCTGAGTGAAAACTGTAACTGAAAAAAGAGGATATGTGATCAAACGAGAAACATATCTCATATTATAATGTTTTATTATGGAGGGTCAGCAGGCAGCGGGCAGAGGACAGACCTCCGGAAACGTTTTTGTTGTGAGCATGAGGATTTTATGCAACAATCAAGAACCTCTCACGACACAGCAGCAAGAAGTACAGCCAGTGATTTATCTTTTCCACTTCTCTTTTGTTTGCTAACAATACAATTGAGATGCACTCATGTTCCTCCCAGCAGTGGAAAAGAGCCTGACAACAACATCAAAGCAAGATTTTGGTGCAAGGCCACTGGTTTCTTGCAGCTGCCATTGGTGGTTGTGCTTTCTGTAAGAGCTGCACTCCATGTCATTGAACCGTGTGCAGGAGTAAATGATTGGTAAGATTCCTTTATCACAACATCCAACACGATGGCAAATGATGCGCTTATTAAGAATCCACAGCTCTCACTGAGTTTTTCACATTTCTTTTTTTTTATCAATACAAGACACTGAGCAGACTCAAAAGGAGGAGAGAGGGATTGAAACATTTACCTTTCCCTCCGGTTTTCCCTGGATTCCCTCAGCTCCGGTGCGCCCCTCTGATTTGCTTTAAACGGACTCCTGCGGATGGCACGGTTTGTTTGCTTGTTTTGAAACAAAGCCAATATCCAAATGAAAAAGGCATGAAGCAGGGTCGTTACTGAATCTGATCAAGGTGATCACCTGCTGAATCCGACAGGTTAATCACGTTTGTTTTCACACACAAGACAATGATATGCTTATTATTCCATCTGGGCCTCGCTGATGTCAGGTTTATTTTCCCCAATAGTAACCACATTTAAGACAAACTGCACCGAAAAGACTGAAAACATTGACATATTACACATAGCTGTATTAGGTCAGTTGAAAGCAATATTATTAAGTTGAACCTAACATTTTGTATTTAAACTTAATAGTATTGCTTTTACACAACCCAATACAATTATGTGTCATTTGTTGACATAATGCATTTAATTAAAGTCGTCGTTTCAGTTTTTTCAGTGTGGCGTCAGACCGCCTCACAAGGAGGTGTGTGTCGGGATGCCTTCAGAAAAAGTTTGCATGGAATTCATGACTCACAATCACAGCATCATCACTTTTAATTCACGTTTAAAGTTGATAAGGAGCCAAATGAAAATATAATCATTTGCTTAATAACTTAAAACAAAAACACACACACACACAATGACTCTTACTCCATCACACACCCATGCCACAGATTCTGGTCTCATCTTTATTTCGGCTTTCATTATTTTTTAGTACAGCCTAGCATACGTCTTAAAAACTGGTCATTTTAATTTATTAACTACCTCTTAGCAGTTAAATAACAACACTGCAATTCACCTTATTGAGATCTGGTCATGGTGGTGTGTGTGTGTGTGTGTGTGTGTGTGTGTGTGTGTGTGTGTGTGTGTGTGTGTGTGTGTGTGACAGTGAGGCTGGTACACACACTCACTGTACCCAGGCTGTACTGCCTGTTTCTCCTGCAGTATCACAGCAGTACACAGAGGACATGACACAGACACAATGTTTGCAGCTTATTGCTTTGTCCTTAATATTTGTGATATATATTTTACATGTCATTTCAATTGCAGTAACATGTTTGGGTCAAGCACACTGTTTCTGAGGACAAACCGAAGTAAGAGAAACATTTAGAACATAAGCAGATCTGTGCAAACTATCAGGGCTGCTGTCAAAATATAACATGTTTCTCTAGAGGAGATGAATGTGCACCTAACCAGAAGTAAGGTGGTGTCTGTACGGCTGACTTCACCTTATAATCCACCTAATAATAGCAGAGCCATATGGTTTCTGTGGCAGTGATCCAGAGCCGAGGCTGTAATGAGCATCACTGACTGCAAACCAAAACTGTGCACATTAATATTCTGACTTTACACGATCATTAAGAGGAACCCTGCTAATCCGTAATATCGAACAAGCATATTGTTTATTAGCTCTGATGAGATCTACAGTCACAGATAAAGTGTTGTACACTGTGAAGCAGTGAGCTGAAGAAGCAGCATGGAGGCAGAGAGCAGGCTCTGTGATCTGAGGACGAGATATCTCGCGTTTTCAGAGGAGATGGAAGAAAGTCAGCAGCTGTCAGATCACTGCTGGAAATCCTGTCAGATCATATTCCTAAAGTTTTGGCCTTGGTCTGAGCCACGTGCTGCTACCAGAAAAGTATCATCTTTATTTGCCTGCTTTCAAATCCCTGCTGTTCCAAACGTGTAACAAGAGAAGGCATGTGGAGAAAACCTATGCAGGCGGCTCCTTTAAAGGCTTCATTTGGATTGTTTCTGACCTGAGGCGTTTGTTTTACTTAGCGCCAGTGTTGTTTACGCATTATACTGGTAGCCTCAAGGTTAGACAAGCTGGCTTGAAGAGCAGTTAAATAAACAATCACATTACATTTAATGAACAGACAGTGTGATGTTGTGTGCACAACTTGGCTATTTGTCATGTTATGGCTCATTTAGTTGCAAAAACTCTAATAAGCTCTCGGTTGGCCTTCAAATGGTCCTGTTGTTAACTGAGCTCATCCTCCAGTGTAAAGTCCACACTCTCAGAGTCATCAAATCCCTGTTCTGCTAACTACAACTTTCTTTAGTGTAATCAAAAGTCTTAAAGTCGTCGTGGATTGACTGACCGGCGACAGAGTCGGGGTTAGAAGATCACTCCCTGATGATACAGGCGGTCTCACCACCATGGTTTTTCTTATGTCTTGTGCTCTAATTGGCCACCCCAAATGACTCCCTGACAAGTCCATATATTTAGCCTGCAAAATATCTTGAAGGTGTTCTTGTGGATTTGCGATCACTGATCCAACGACCATTTACCTTGAACATCACGATAAAGTCCTTTAGTGTGGGGATCATTTACCATCTCTCAGGCGAATTAGAGGCAGTTATACTGCAGTGGCATTCTGCATGACGAAAAATCCCCTAACTTCCACCAAGCATGACTTTAAAAAAAGGATATACAAGACAGAATGCAAGTGTCATTTCAAGAGAGGATCTTGTAAGAACCCTAGTAATATTTCTGATCCACCTCTACAGATTAGCTATGACACAGGACTGAAAAGACCTGATTACACACACCTTTCACTTTTTCTGTCTGAATCCCATCAGGCTACTCTTAATCATGTCCCATGAAGATGAAGACTTATCATTTTGCAGTAGCACAAAAATGTAAGGTGGTATGACCTATTTATGATGTCTGTTTGAAGTCTGCATAAGGTTTTGTAGGACTCTCCCTCTCAGCAAGCGGACATGAACCCAATTGAGACAAGGAAGTTGGGTAAAAAAGCTGTTGGTATTTTTTTTTTCTTTGTCTCCATATGTGCAAAGCACGAACATTGTTTGAAAAGCAGAACACTGAATAATACTTTATACCATTCAAGAGAAATAACTGAGCTTGTACTGCACTCACCAGATAAAAATAAGTCATTTTCATTTTAGATGTTTTGTGACATTTGCGTGATTTGCATTGGAGTCTAGAAGAGATTGTTTTTGGATGTGGACTTTGGTGAGACATGAGGGATCAAACCTCAGCTTCAGCTGTCAGAGGATTATCATAGCAGACGTATGAAGTAGTCTCATGATCTTCTGAATAATTCAAAAAAATACAATTCTGCCCTTTGACTGGTTACAAGTTCACAGGGCTGTCCTCACATGTAATGTTCCGGAGTGGAAGAGGACCTCTTGCTCTTTGACTTCCTGCATTGTAAAGGATTGTTGGTTCATATGTATTTTCTTGATGAAAAGTGTGTGCTCATATTTAAGACTGACAATAATAAAATGTTGTATCTTAAGATTTTGTGTTTTGCGTAAATGGGTGTTTTTAGTTTTTTTTCATGGTGAATATAGATGTATACAAATTATATATGTTACTCTACTGCAATGCCAACAGACCTTTTTGAGGTTCACGTTTACAGAGTTGCAAGCAGTGGCACATATCCAGCAACCAGATATTGATTTTTTTGATTCCCTCAGAAGTTGTGACCTTGGAGTGAGCTCATTGTGGTCTGTCTGCTACATCACCAACAGCTGCTAACTGCACCTCTCTAAATGACACCAGTGTGTCTTTGAGACTGAACACAGTGTATTTTAAGGCTTCCGGTACATTCATTATGTACGACCGCAGCGGGAGGTCTGCCTTAACTCTCTGAATGTGTTTCTCCACTGCAACTGAATACAAAAGCAGTTAACTATTCTTATTTAATCGCCCTAAAGATAGTCAATATATAGTTACATTAATTTGGAGGTTTTAATCATGTCAGTGTTCTTTTGACCTGCAGCAATGATTAACTGAGCAATAATACTGTAAAGCATGTCCATGTTATGACAGTTGTTTTGTTTGTTTTTTAAACCTTTATTTAACCAGGTAGTCCCATTGAGATCATCGATCTCTTTTTCAAGGGAGACAGTATCTCATGTGTGTGCTTTGTTTGCATGTGTTAATCCCATGATGCCACTGCTCCACCGGAGCCCGGACAAGTGTTTAGTTTATGAGAACATATGCTCTTTGCACATTAAGCAGAACATAACCTGAACTTATCTTCTGAGTTTGCTAACATTAACTACAGTTTGATAAATATGCTATTGTCGTTAGCAAGCTAAAGTTAACGTTTAAATATAAATGTACCTTAGGCTTTTGCAGTTTATGTGCTTTTGTTTCTAACATTACAATTACGCAGAGTGAATGCTGAGTTACAAAGAAAAAAGATTGTCTCATGTTAAAGGCCAGTATCCCTTAAACTCAAATATATCACAGAGAATGGACCATTTTAGGCCATTTGAAGCCATGCAACTACCTGCATTGTTGATTTTGTATTCTTCTATGCCATATTTTGTCATTGGAACTTAATGAAACATACCATTGAAGGCAGACAGCTGAGCGCAAAAGGCTGAAACCACCATAACCTGCTGAGTACTGCAGCAAGCGATAATGTGTTCACACGTTTGGATGCTGCACACTTTGTACCTAATAAACTGGGAAATTGTAAACAAAAACTAGTCTCCGCTAGTTAGGGGCTTTCACATTGAAATGCATTGTTTACAATACATAATCTGATATGACAGAGCATTGACCCTGTTTATTTGTTGAGATTAGATCATTTGAACACCTGTCAACAGATAAGTACCGCAAGACTCCTGGGACCATAATATTCATAGAACTACAAATAGTAGCTCCTAAGAAAGGTCTTAGAGAAGGACTTTAATGAGGCGTAAGATTTTCTCATACAGAGGAGAGTATGGCAAAAGACAAAAATAAGTAGGAAAACTATTTCCTCTGAAAGACAGTGAGCTGCTGATGAAACACTACAGAAGATGGTACAGGGAGAGACTACTGTTAAACAGTTGTGGTTGATTTCATTAGATGCACTCACAGCTCCCACCCAACACTATATAAGCGTATAATGCCAGAAGTGAAAGTAATCACAGCACTGAGATATCTGGCAGCAGTTTATCTGATTTGCTGGTGTTTATCTGCATGTTGATTGGCTACTTCACAAGCAGGCCCAAGTGTTCAAGCATTTCAGGCTAATCTTAATATGGCTTACATTAATTCCAAGATGTTCATTATATAAAGGATATTCACTCTCATTAGGGAATGAGTCCTAACCCCATGTGAAGGAGATCAAGTATCTCGGGTTCTTGAGTGAGGGGACGATGCTAGATGCCAGATTATTTTAGGCTAGGTTAGCAGCTCTCTGAGCATGTTCTCAGAATATTTCTGAGTACTGCCCCTGTTCATCTGAGTGTTTCTCCAGGTGGACTCCAGGGACGGAAATGTTCCTGACATCACCTACCAGAGGTGTGGACTCGAGTCACATGACTTGGACTCGAGTCAGACTCGAGTCAACAATTTGATGACTTTGGACTCGACTTGACAAAATCACAAAACACTTGCGACTCGACTTGGACTTGAACACCAATGACTCGGGACTTGACTTGGACTTGAGCCTTCTGACTTGAGGTGACTTGATAATTTAATTCAGAGGTCTCCAACACGCCGATCGCGAGCTGCCGTTCAGAAGAGCAGAC